CGATGCCCTTAATATCTCCAATGTCCCCATTGCCCCCAATGCCCCCAATGTCCCCAGTGCCCCCAATGTCCCCAATGTCCCCACTGACCCCAATGTCCCCAATGTCCCCAATGTCCCCATTGTCCCCAATGTCCCCACTGACCCCATTGTCCCCAATGTCCCCAATATCCCCCAATGTCCCCAGTGTCCCCAATGTCCCCACTGACCCCAATGTCCCCATGTCCCAGCTGGGGTCCCCCACGGCGCTGGCGGACGCTGTCACCGAGGGGCGGCTGCGGGCGGCGGCGGCGCGCGGGGGCCACACCCTGTATGTGCCCAGGGGGGCCCTGTGGGGCTGCGAGGACATCGCCCGGATGGACAGCGCGGGGACGCTGCAGGTGACACTGGGGACACTGCTGGGGACATTGGGGACAATGGGGACACTGGGGACAGTGGGGACATTGGGGACACTGGGGACATCGCCAGGATGGACAGCGCGGGGACGCTGCAGGTGACACTGGGGACACTGCTGGGGACATTGGGGACACCCCTGGGGACATTGGGGACATTGGGGACATCGCCCGGATGGACAGCGCGAGGACGCTGCAGGTGACACCCCTGGGGACACTGGGGACACTGCAGGTGACACCCCTGGGGACATTGGGGACACTTCCTGCCCTTGGGGACAGAGTTTGGGGACACTGTCCTGCCTTTGGCGCCAGTCCCCGCTCGTGTCCCACTGTCCCCAGACTGTGTCCCCAGAGGTGACAATGACAGTGACACTGAAGGCCCCCGGCAGTTTCCGCGCGCAGGGCTGGCTGTCCCCATGGTGACAATGACAGTGACAATGACAGTGACAGTGACAGTGACAATGACAGTGACAGTGACAATCCCTGTGTGTCCCCAGGCGCTGAAGGTGACAATGACAATGTCCCTGTGTCCCCAGAGGTGACAATGACAGTGACAATGACAATGTCCCTGTCCCTGTGTGTCCCCAGGCGCTGAAGGTGACAATGACGAAGCCCCCCGGCAGTTTCCGCGCCCAGGGCTGGCTGTCCCCATGGTGACAGTGACACTGACAGTGACAGTGACAGTGACAGTGACAATGACAATGACACAGTGACAGTGACAATCTGTGTGTCCCCAGGCGCTGAAGGTGACAATGACCAAGGCCCCCGGCAGTTTCCGCGCGCAGGGCTGGCTGTCCCCATGGTGACAGTGACAATGACAATGTCCCCTGTGTGTCCCCAGGCGCTGAAGGTGACAATGACCAAGGCCCCCGGCAGTTTCCGCGCGCAGGGCTGGCTGTCCCCATGGTGACAGTGACACTGACAGTGACAGTGACAATGACAATCTCTGTGTCCCCAGGCGCTGAAGGTGACAATGACAATGACACTGACAGTGACACTGACAATGTCCCCTGTGTGTCCCCAGGCGCTGAAGGTGACAATGACAGTGACACTGATACTGACAGTGACACTGACAATGTCCCCTGTGTGTCCCCAGGCCCTGAAGGTGACAATGACGCAGGCCCCCGGCAGTTTCCGCGCGCAGGGCTGGCTGTCCCCATGGTGACAATGACAGTGACAGTGACACTGACAATGACACTGACACTGACAATGACAATGACAATGACAGTGACAATGACAATCTGTGTGTCCCCAGGCGCTGAAGGTGACAATGACCAAGGCCCCCGGCAGTTTCCGCGCGCAGGGCTGGCTGTCCCCATGGTGACAATGACAGTGACAATGACAATCCCTGTGTCCCCAGGCGCTGAAGGTGACAATGACGAAGGCCCCCGGCAGTTTCCGCGCGCAGGGCTGGCTGTCCCCGCGCGTGGCGGCCGCGGTGGCCTCGGGGACGCGGGCCGTGCTGTACCAGGGTCCCCTGCGGCCGCTCTGTCCCCTCGTCCCCAACAACGTCAACAGCATGGCGGCGGCCGCGGTGGCAGCGCCGCGCCTCGGCTTCGACGGCGTCACCGCCTGCCTGGTGGCCGACCCCAGGTGGGCGTGTCACCTGTGTGTCACCTGTGTGTCATTGTGTCACCTGTGTGACCTGGGGCACCTCTGTGTCACCTGTGTCACCTTCATTACCTCCCGTGTCACCTCTGTTGTGTGTGGCACCTCCTGTGTCACCTGAGTGTCACCTGTGAGTGTCACCTGTGTCACCTGAGTGTCACCCGTGCCCTCGCTGTCCCCCAGTGCCACCCCAGTGTCCCTCCCCTGTCCCTGTGTCACACACCCCGGTGTGCCCCGTCCCCGCTGTCACCGTGGGGGTGTCCCCTGTGTCCCTGCCACTGTCCCCAGTGTCCCCTCAGTGTCCCCAGTGTCCCCAATGTCCCCAATGTCCCCCCAGTGTCCCCGAGTGCCACATCATCGATGTCGAGGTCACCTGTGTGTCACTCTCAGTGTCACCATGGTGTCCCTGTCCCTGTCCCCAGTGTCCCCTCAGTGTCCCCAGTGTCCCCGACTGTCACATTGTCACTGTGGAGTGACGATGTCCACAGCAGTGTCCCCTCAATGTCCCTGTCCCTGTCCCCAGTGTCCCCAATGTCCCCTCAGTGTCCCCGACTGCCACATCATCGATGTCAAGGTCACAGCAGTGTCCCCAATGTCCCCTCACAGTGTCCCCGACTGCCACATCATCGATGTCGAGGTCACCGCTGTCCCCGAGGGCGGCCGCGCCCTCACCGTCACCAGCACCCGCCGCAACCCCGCCGAGCCCGGCCACGTCACGGGCAGCGCCACCCGCCACAGCTTCTGGAGCAGCGTGCAGGGTGCGCCATTGTCACCCGTGCCACCCTCGGTGTCACCTGTGCCACCCCTGGTGTCACCTCGGTGCCACCTCAGCACTGCTCACTCTGTCCTTCCCCGCAGCCTGCACCGGACACGGCGGCTGCGTCAAGCTCTGCTGAGGAGGAGCAGCGGAAACGCCCGCGGGGACAATTTTGGGACAATCTGGGGACATTTTGGGGACAATAAATCGAGGTCCAGGCCTAGAAGTGGTGGCGGCGCCCTTCTTGTAATGGCGGCGGGGAGGAGGCGCGAGCTGATTGGTGGAGGAGCCGCGCGGGGCGCGATGGGAGAAAGGGCGCTGAGCGGTGATTGGTGAATGCTGGGGAACAAAGCATCACGGGAGGAAGGTCAAAGCGCTGATTGGACAGGCGCTGTGGGGGAGGAGGTTGGCGCGCTGTGATTGGTCGCCGCCGCGCGGGGCATGACGGGAATTGCAGTCGCGGCCCTGAGGGGGGCAGAGGCCGCCATGGCCCCGGAGGAGGCGCGGGGTGAGGAGGGGGCGCCGGAGCCTCTGGTGGGACAAGCGGCGGTGAGACCCCTCCCCAAATTCCGACAGACCCCAGACCCAAATCCCGGACCCTTCCCGCGACCCCCGACCCAAATTTGGGACCTCCCCGAGACCCCAGACCCAATTTGGGGCCCTCCAAACTTCCCCTTACCCCAGGGCGGGGTGGCAATATTGATGGGAGATCACTTCCCTAATTTGGGAGAAACCCCCTGAGACCCCTCCCCAAATTCCGGCAGACCCCAGACCCAAATCCCCGACCCTTCCCGCGACCCCCGACTCAAATTTGGGACCTCCCCGAGACCCCAGACCCAAATTGTGGAGCCTTCAAAACCCCCCCGCCCCTATTGAGAATCCGCATTGTCACACTGGTGGGGTGGGACAGGTGGCAGTGGGACCCCCTCCCCAAATTCGGGACACACCCCCGAGACCCCAGACCCAAATTGTGGACCCCTCCCAGGACCCCCGACCCAAATTTGGGACCTCCCCGAGACCCCAGACCCAAATTGTGGACCCCTCCCAGGACCCCCGACCCAAATTTGGGACCTCCCCAAGCCCCCAGACCCAATTTGGGACCCCCTAAACTTCCCCTTTGCCTGGCGCTGGGTGGCTGTGGGGTGACTGTCAGACCCCTCCCCAAATTCCGGAGCAACCCCCTGAGACCCCTCCCCAAATTCGGGCAGACCCCAGACCCAAATTCTGAACCCTTCCCAGGATCCCTGACCCAAATTTGGGACTTCCCTGAGACCCCAGCCCCAATTTGGGACCCCCTAATCTTCCCCTTTCCTGGGCTAGGTGGCTGTCTGGTGACTGTGAGACCCTTCCCCAAATTCCGGAGCAACCCTGAGACCCCTCCCCAAATTCTGCCCAGCACCCCTGAGCCCCCAAACCCAAATCTTAGTACCCCCCACCCCAATTCCAGCCCCCTCCAAGCCCCCAGACCCAATTGATGCCCTCTCCTTCTTCCCTTGCCACTCCGCCCTTCCCGCCCACGCCCCCCTTAACGAACCCCGCCCCTTTAATTACCCTCTCCCTAATTAGCGCCGCTGCCCGCAGCCCCCTGGAGCGGCTGGCGCTGCCTCACGTGCTGGGCTTCCTGCTCAATGTCCCCTCGCGGGTGACGCTGGGCGCGCTGGCACTGCCCCTGTGCCGCCCGCACTGGCTCTGCGTGCGCCCCTTCGGGGACACCTTCTACAACCTGGACTCCAAACTGCCCGGGCCCGCCCCCATCGGGGCCGAGCCCCAGCTCAGGTCAGCCTGGGGACCCTGGGGACACCTTGGGGACACCTTGGGGACACCGGGGTGGCATCCAGGGACAGCTCAGGGGCACCATAGGGACACTTGGGGCACAGCTCGGGTGGAGTCTGGGAGCTCCTGGGGGTACCTGGAGACACCTTGGGGACACCTTGGGGACACTGGGGTGGCATCTGGGGACACCTTGGGGACACCGGGGTGGCATCCAGGGACAGCTCAGGGGCACCATTGGGACACTTTGGGCACAGCTCAGGTGGAGTCTGGGGGCACCTGGGGGTACCTGGAGACACCTTGGGGACACCTTGGGGACACTGGGGACACTGGGGTGGTATCTGGGGACACCTTGGGGACACCTTGGGGACATTGGAGACATTGTGGGGACACCTCAGGTGCATCTGGAGACATTTGATGGCATCTGGGGACACCTGAGGACACCTGAGTGTTGCTTGGGGACACGTGGGTGGCGCCCAGGTGGCACCTGGTGGCACCTGGGGACACTTGGTTGTCAGCTCTTTGTCCCCTGGTTATCACCTCATTGTCGCCTGGCTGTCCCCTGATTGTCACCTGGCTGTCACCTTGTTGTCCCCTCACTGTCCCCCTGGCCCCATTGTCCCCAGGCAGTTCCTGCGGGCGGGGCTGGCCCTACCTGAGTGACACCTGAGTGACACCTGGGGACACCTGTGTGACACCTGGATACCTGAGTGACACCTGAGTGACAGCTAGGGACACCTGGGGGACACCTGAGGGACACCTGGGGACACCTGGGACACCTGAGTGACACCTGAGTGACACCTGGGACATGGCTGAGCACCAAGTGACACCTGAGTGACAGCTGAGTGACAGCTGAGTGACACCTGAGTGACAGCTGGGGACACCTGAGTGACAGCTGAGTGACAGCTCAGTGACAGCTGAGTGACACCTGGGGACACCTGAGGGACACCTGAGGGACAGCTGGGGCACCTGAGTGACACCTGGGACACCTGGGTGGCTTCAAACCCCCCCCGAAAGGATTAAACGCGATCGGTGGCAGCTTCGTGTCTGCGGGCTTGGACAAAAATCCCTGAATTTCACCCCAAAACAACCACAATCCCAAAATGCTGAAATTTCACCCCAAAATCTTCAAATTCAACATCAAAATCCCTGAACTTCACCTCAAAATCCCTGAATTTCACCCCAAAATCCCCAAATTCCACCCCAAACCCACCACAATCTCCAAATCCCAACATTTCACCCCAAAAACATTAAAATTCAACCTCAAAATCCCTAAATTCCACCTCAAAATCCCTGATTTTCGCCTCAAAATCTCCAAATTTCACCCCAAATACTCCAAATTTTACCCCAAAACCACCACAATCCCCAAAATCCTGAAATTTCACCCCAAAACCCCTCAAATTCAACCTCAAAATCCCTGAATTTTGCCCCAAAATCTCCAGATTTTGCCCCAAAATCTCAAATTCCAGCCCAAATCCTCAAGTTGCACCCCAAATCCACTAATTTTCCCCAAAATCCCTGAATTTTTCCCCAAAATCTCCAGATTTTGCCCCAAAATCTCAAATTCCAGCCCAAATCCTCAAATTGCACCCCAAATCCACTAATTTTTCCCAAAATCCCTGAATTTTTCACCAAAATTCCTGAATTTTACCCCAAAATCCCCAAATTTCCTCCCCCCAGTGCCGCGAGGGAGCAGCGAGAAACCTGAGGCGGGGGGCGTGACCGCCCCAGGACCGCGCTCTGATTGGTTCGCCAGCGTGATTGACACTTTCTCTGAACCATCCCAGCCAATCAGCGTGCAGCATGCGGCTTCGGCGCAAAATCCCCGAATTTCCACCCCTAATCCCCGAATTTTGCCCCAAAATCTCCTGAATTTCGCCTACAAATTCCCCGAACTTCCACCCAAAAATCCCAGATTTTTTTCACCAAAATTCCCGATTTCCAGTCTAAAATCCCCGAAAATCTCCCCCACACGGGGAGGCGGGAAACCTGAGGCGAGAGGTGAGACCACCGGAAATCGAGCTCTGATTGGCTGTACACTTTGATTGACACTCTCCCAGCACCATCCCAGCCAATCAACGTGCAACAAGCGGCTTTAGCAAGAAATATCTGAATTTCCCCACCAAATCCCCAAATTTTGCCCCAAAATCTCCGCATTTCGCTCACAGTTTCCCGAATTCCACCCCTAGGACTCTGAATTTTTCACCAAAATGCCGAATTCCAACCCAAAATCCCCGAAAATCTCCCCCACACCGAGAGGCGGGAAACCTGAGGGGGCGCGCGACCACCCCCGAGCCGCGCTCTGATTGGCCGTGCTCTTTGATTGACACTTTTCCAGCACCATCCCAGCCAATCAATTCGCAGCAACCGGCTTCGGCGCGAAATTCCCGACTTTCCACCCGAAATCCTCAAGTTTTTCCCCAAAATCTCCGCATTTCGCTCACCAATTCCTGAATTCCACCCCTAAATCCCCGAATTCTTCCCCAAAATGCCCGAATTCCACCCCAAAATCCCCAAATTTCCTCCCCTCAGCGCGGGGGACAAGCGGCGGGAAACTTGAGGGGGCGCGCGACCACCCGTGCGCCGCGCTCTGATTGGCTGTGCACTTTGATTGGCACTGCATAGGGACGGGTGTAGCCAATCAGCGAGCGGCAGAGTGCCTCTGGTGGCGGCGGCGCCAGGCTTCTTTCAGCCCTCCCTGGTGGTCTAGTGGTTAGGATTCGGCGCTCTCACCGCCGCGGCCCGGGTTCGATTCCCGGTCAGGGAAGATCCGTTTTTAATTTCATTTACTTTAATTTTTTTTCCCAATTTATTTCCGCTTCCGCTCGCGGAATCCTGTTTTTCCTTCCCCCCCGTTATTTAGCGTTTCGTCTAAAAATAATTTATTAAATTAGGGGGGATAAAAGGTGGCGGAGTGCATAAAATTCCGGCGGTTCTGTCGCGATATGGTCGCGACAGAGCGGAGGCACCGCTGGGATTCGAACCCAGGATCTCCTGTTTACTAGACAGGCGCTTTAACCAACTAAGCCACGGCGCCGCGCGCTCCCTGCGCCGCCCGCAGCCCAAAAATCCCCGCAGCCCCTCCCCCACCCGCCACGACCCCTCCCCAAAAAGGGAAAACCCAAAAATCCCAAATTCCCCTCCCCCTAAAATCCCAAATTCCCCAGACCCAAAAATCCCACATTCCCCAGACCCAAAAATCCCAAATTTCCCCTCCCACAAAAATCCCAAATTTCTTCTCCCCTAAAAATGAAAAACCCCAAAATCCAGAATTTCTCCTCCCCAAAAAAGGGAAAACCCAAAATCCCAAATTCCTTGGGAAAATTGAGGGGAAAATGCAAAATAAATAAAAAATATAGGGGGAAATTGGAGGAAAATGGGGAAAATGAGGGGAAAGAACCCAAAATTAATGGAAAATTGAAGGAAAAATATGGAAAATTTGAGGGGGAATTGGGAAAATTGAGGGGAAAATGCAAAATAATTAAAAAATAGAAGTGAAAATTGGAGGGAAAATGAGGAAAATGAGGGGAAAAACCCCAAAATTAACGGAAAAATGAAGGGAAAATTTGGAAAATTTGAGGGGAAAGTCTGAGGGAAAACGGGAAAAATGAGAGAACAACCCAAAAGAAATGAGAAAATGAAGCAAAAATTTGGAAAATGAGGGGAAATTCTGGGGGAATTGGGAAAATTGAGGGGAAATAAGGGGGGAGTGGGAAAAAGAGGGAAAAGTGCAAAATAAATAAAAAATATAGGGGGAAATTGGAGGAAAATGGGGAAAATGAGGGGAAAGAACCCAAAATAAATGAGAAAATGAAGGAAAAATTTGAAAATGAGGGGAAATTGGGAAAATTGGGGGGAAAATGCAAAATAAATAGAAAATAGAGGGGAAAGTTGAAGGGAAAATGGGGAAAATGAGGGGAAAGAACTCAAAATAAATGGAAAAATGAAGGAAAAATATGGAAAATTTGAGGGGGAATTGGGAAAATTGAGGGGAAAATGCAAAATAAATAGAAAATAGAGGGGAAAGTTGAAGGGAAAATGGGGAAAATGAGGGGAAAGAACTCAAAATAAATGGAAAAATGAAGGAAAAATATGGAAAATTTGAGGGGGAATTGGGAAAATTGAGGGGAAAATGCAAAATAATTATAAAATATAAGTGAAAATTGGAGGAAAAATGAGGAAAATGAGAGGAAAAAACCCAAAATAAATGAGAAAATGAAGGAAAAATTTGAAAATGAGGGGAAATTGGGAAAATGGGGGGGAAAATAAGAGGGGGAATGGGAAAAAGAGGGAAAAATGCAAAATAAATAGAAAATAGAGGGGAAAATGGAAGGGAAAATGGGGAAAATCCCAAAATAAATGGAAAAAATGAAGGGAAAATATGGAAAATGAGGGGAAGTTGGGAAAATTGAGGGGAAAAAGAGGAAAAATTCAAAATAAATAGAAAAATTGAGGTCAAAATTGAAGGAAAAAAGGAGAAAATGATGCGGAAACCCCCAAAATTAATGGAAAAAATGAAGAAAAAAATTGGAAACGGAGGGGGAAATCTGAAGGAAAACGGGAAAGATGAGAGAAGAACCCAAAAGAAATGGGAAAATGAGGGAAAATTTGGAAAATGAGGGGAAAATCTGGGGAATTGGGAAAATTGAGGGGAAATAAGGGGGGGAATGGGAAAAAGAGGGAAAAATGCAAAATAAATAGAAAATAGAGGGGAAAATTGAAGGGAAGATGGGGAAAATCCCAAAATAAATGGAAAAAATGAAGAAAAAATTTGGAAACTGAGGGCTTTTTTATAATTAATTTTATATTTTATATAATTAAATTTATCATTTTTAGAACAGGGGAAAAATGAGAAATTTGGGTGGAAAATTGGAGAATTTGGGATAAAAAAAGAGAAAATTGGGGAAAATGGGAAAAAAGAGATTAAAAAAGGAGATATGTCAGAAAAAAGAATAAAATTTATATAAAACAGAGAAAACTGGAAAAGAACAGGGGGGAAAGGAGAAAATTGTGGAAAAAATTGGGAGAAAAAGGAAAAATTTGGGATAAAAAAGAGAAAATTGGGAAATCTCCCCATTCGGATTTGGCGGGGCCGGGATTCGAACCCGCGGCCTCCGGAGCTGGAGCCCCGCCCAGGCCACGCCTCCAACCCCGCCCCCTGCAGTGGCCACGCCCCCGCAGCGCAGCCTATGGCGGCCGGGCGCGGGCGCGCAGCCGCGGACGAGGTGGCCGAGTGGTTAAGGCGATGGACTGCTAATCCATTGTGCTCTGCACGCGTGGGTTCGAATCCCACCCTCGTCGGGAGGTCGTTTTTTGGGGGGAAATCCTCGGAATTCGCTTTTTTGGGGTGATCCCAAATTCACCAATCCCACCCTGATGGGAAAACCGTATTTTGAGGTGAAATCCCCGATTTTTAGGGTTTGAAAGCCGGAATTTTTTTGGGTGAAATCCACGATTTTTGGTGGGAAATCCCCGAATTTTGGGGTGAAATCCCCAATTTTTGGGATGACCCCAAATTCTCCAATCCCACCCTGGTCGGGAGCCGATTTTGGGGTGAAATCCATGGAATTCCCATTTTTGGGGGTTCAATCCCAAATTCCTCAGTCCCATTCTGATCAGAAAATGCAATTCTGGAGCGAAATCCCCAATTTTTGGGATAAAATCCCCGATTTTTGGGGTGACCCCAAATTCCCCAATCCCACCCACATCGGGACCCCCTTTTTGGGGTGGAACTCCCCGATTTTGGGATCTCGCTCCCGAAAATTCCCATTTTTTGCTAATCCATTGTGCTCTGCACGCGTGGCTTCGCATCCCACCCCTGTCGGGACTCACGAAAATTCCCATTTTTTGCTAATCCATTGTGCTCTGCACGCGTGGCTTCACATCCCATCCTTGTCGGGACTCAAATTTTGGGGTAAAATCCGCGCTTTTTGGGGTTACACCCCCGAATTCTGGGGTTAAACCCCCGATTTTTAGTAGAGAAATCCCTGATTTTGGGTTAAAACCCCGATTTTTGACACGGAATTCCCAATTTTTGGGGTTCAATCTCCGATTTTTGGGGTTAAATCCCGAATTTTGGGGTGAAATCCGCGATTTTTGGGGTGAAATCCCCGATTTTTGGGGTGAAATCTTTTTGGGGTTCAATCCTCGATTTTTGGGGTTACCCCCCCGAATTCTGGGGTTAAACCCCCGATTTTTAGTAGAGAAATCCCTGATTTTGGGTTAAAACCCCGATTTTTGACACGGAATTCCCAATTTTTGGGGTTCAATATCCGATTTTTGGGGTTAAATCCCCGAATTTTGGGGTGAAATCCGCGATTTTTGGGATGAAATCCACGATTTTTGGGGTGACCCCAAATTCCCCAATCCCACCCTCGTCGGGATCCCAATTTTTTGGAGAAAAACCCGAAATTCGCTTTTTTTGGGGTGATCACAAATCCTCCAACCCCACTCTTATGGGAAAATGCGTTTTTGGGGTGAAATCCTCGATTTTCGGGGTTAAATCGCCGAATTTTGGGGTGAAATCCACGATTTTTGGGGTTAACTCCCAAATCCTTCAATCCCACCCTCGTCGGGACTCAAATTTTGGGGTGAAAAACCCGAATTTTTCCTTTTTTGGGGGGTGACCCCAAATCCTCCAACCCCACTCTGATGGGAAAATGCGGTTTTGGGGTGAAATCCCCGAATTTTGGGGTGAAATCCTCGATTTTTGGGGGTAACTCCCGAATTTTTGCAGTTAATCCCCGATTTTTGGGGTTAAATCCCCAATTTTGAAGTTAAATTCCCGAATTTTGGGGTTAAATCCCCAATTTTTGGGATTAAATCCCCGATTTTGGGGGTGAAATCCCCGATTTTGGGGTGAAAAACCCGAATTTTGGGATTAAATCCCCGATTTGGGGGGTTAAATCCCCGATTTTTTGGGGCGAAGTCCCCGATTTTGGGATTAAATCCCCGATTTTGGGATTAAATCCCCGATTTTGAGGTGAAATCCCTGAATTTTCGGATTAAATCCCCGAATTTTGGGATTACATCCCCAATTTTGGGGGTTCAATCCCGGATTTTTTGGGGTTAAATCCCCGATTTTGGGGTTCAATCCCCGATTTTGGGGTTAAATCCCCGATTTTTGGGATTAAATCCCTGATTTTGGGCTGAATCCCCCGATTTTTGGGGTTAAATCCCCGATTTTGAGGTTAAATCCCCGAATTTTCGGATTATTGGGGTTCAATCCTCGATTTTTGGGGTTACACCCCCGAATTCTGGGGTTAAACCCCCGATTTTTAGTAGAGAAATCCCTGATTTTGGGTTAAAACCCCGATTTTTGACACGGAATTCCCAATTTTTGGGGTTCAATATCCGATTTTTGGGGTTAAATCCCCGAATTTTGGGGTGAAATCCGCGATTTTTGGGATGAAATCCACGATTTTTGGGGTGACCCCAAATTCCCCAATCCCACCCTCGTCGGGATCCCAATTTTTTGGAGAAAAACCCGAAATTCGCTTTTTTTGGGGTGATCACAAATCCTCCAACCCCACTCTTATGGGAAAATGCGTTTTTGGGGTGAAATCCTCGATTTTCGGGGTTAAATCGCCGAATTTTGGGGTGAAATCCTCGATTTTTGGGGTTAACTCCCGAATTTTTGCAGTTAATCCCCGATTTTTGGGGTTAAATCCCCAATTTTGAAGTTAAATTCCCGAATTTTGGGGTTAAATCCCCAATTTTTGGGATTAAATCCCCGATTTTGGGGGTGAAATCCCCGATTTTGGGGTGAAAAACCCGAATTTTGGGATTAAATCCCCGATTTGGGGGGTTAAATCCCCGATTTTTTGGGGCGAAGTCCCCGATTTTGGGATTAAATCCCCGATTTTGGGATTAAATCCCCGATTTTGAGGTGAAATCCCTGAATTTTCGGATTAAATCCCCGAATTTTGGGATTACATCCCCAATTTTGGGGGTTCAATCCCGGATTTTTTGGGGTTAAATCCCCGATTTTGGGGTTCAATCCCCGATTTTGGGGTTAAATCCCCGATTTTGAGGTGAAATCCCTGAATTTTCAGATTAAATCCCCGAATTTTCGGATTACACCCCCGATTTTGAGGGTTCAATCCCGGATTTTTTGGGTTTAAATCCCCGAATTTTGGGATTAAATCCCCGATTTTGGGGTTAAATCCCCGATTTTGAGGTTAAATCCCCGAATTTTCGGATTACACCCCCGATTTTGAGGGTTCAATCCCGGATTTTTTGGGTTTAAATCCCCGAATTTTGGGATTAAATCCCCGATTTTGGGGTTAAATCCACGATTTTTGGGGTTAAATCCCGGATTTGGGGCTGAATTCCCCGATGTTTGGGGTTAAATCCCCGATTTTGGGGTTAAATCCCCGATTTTTGGGATTAAATCCCTGATTTTGGGCTGAATCCCCCGATTTTTGGGGTTAAATCCCCGATTTTGAGGTTAAATCCCCGAATTTTCGGATTACATCCCCGATTTTTGGGGTTCAATCCCGCTTAAAATTCCCCTTTCACAGCTCCTCCGAACCCATCCCAGTCCATCCCAGTCCCTCCCAGTCCCTCCCAGTCCCTCCCAGTCCCTCCCAGTCCCTCCCAGTTCCCGCTCAGGCCCCGCCCATTCCGGCGATGACGTCATCGCGCGCGAGCGCGGCCGGAAGTGGCTCCGGGGGCGGCGGCGGCGCCCGGTGAGAACTGGGATGGACTGGGAGGGACTGGGAGAGACTGGGATGGACTGGGATGGACTGGGATGGACTGGGAGGGACTGGGATGGACTGGGATGGACTGGGATGGACTGGGAGGGACTGGGAGGGACTGGGAGGGACTGGGGTGGGACTGAACTGGGATTTACTGGGATAAACTGGGATTTACTGGGGGAGTTCCCAGGGGTTCCCCAGTCCCAGCTCGGGCGGTTCCCGAGGGGATCCCAAATCCCGAATCCCGAATTTTGGGGGTCCCAAACCCATCCCAGAGCTCCCCGAGGGAATTCCCCGATCCCAGCCCCAAATCCCAGCCCGGGGGATCCCAAATCCGATCCCAGGGAATTCCCGAATCCCAAATTCCCCCTCAGGGGATCCCACATCCCCAGGTTCCAACTCGGAGGATCCCAAGTCCCAAATTCCCCTTCAGGGAATTCCCAAATCCCAGCTCGGAGGATCCCAAATCCCATCCCAAGGAATTCCCAAACCCTGAACCCATCCTGGGAATTCCCAAATTCCCAAATCCTCTCCCAGAGATCTGTGGGAGGATCCCAAACCCGAGAGGATCCCGAGGGATCCCAAATTCCAGACCAGGGAATTCCCAAATCCCAAATTCCACCTTGGAGGATCCCAAATCCCATCCTGGGAATTCCCAAATCCCAAATCCAGAGATCCTTGAGGGGATCCCAAACCCGTCCCGAGGGATCCCAAATCCCATCCTGAGGGATCCCAAATCCCAACCCAGGGAATTCCCAAATCCCAAATTCCCCCTCAGGGGGGGAGTTCCCAAATTCCAAACCCCAAATGCCTGACCTTGGGGATCCCAAATCCCCAAATCCCATCCTGAGGAATTCCCAAACCCCAAACCCATCCTGAGGGGTCCCAAATCCCAGACCCAACCCAGGGAATTCCCAATCCCAAATTCCAGCCCAGGGGATCCCAAATCCCAACCCAAGGAATTCCCAAATCCCAAACCCAGAGATCCTTGAGGGAATCCTGAACCCATCCTGGGGGATCCCAAATCCCAAATCCCATCCTGAGGAATTCCCAAACCCCAAACCCATCCTGAGGGATCCCAAATCCCTTCCTGGGGGATCCCAAATCCCCAGATCCCAACCCAGGGAATTCCCAATCCCAAATTTCTCCTCAGGGGATCCCAAATCCCATCCTGAGGAATTCCCAACCCCCAAATTCCACCTTGGAGGATCCCAAATCCCAAATTCCTGCCCAGGGAATTCCCAAATCCCCAAATCCCTTCCCGGGTAATCCCAAATCCCCAATCCCAGAGATCCCTGGGAGGATCCCAAATTCCAGCCCAGGGAATTCCCAAACCCAGCTCTGGAGATTCCCAAAGCGATTCCCAAATTCACCTCAGGGAATTCCCAAAGGGAACCCCAAATCCTGCTTGGGATTCCCAAGGGGATCCCAAAATCCATCCCAAGGAATTCCTGAGGGGATCCCAAATCCATTCCAGGATCCCCCAAATCCACCTTGGGGCATTCCCGGGATTCCCCAAATCCATCCCAAGGAATTTCCCAGGGGATCCCAAACCCATCCCAGGGGGGATCCCCAAAACCCAAATTCCACCTTGGAGGATCCCAAATCCCATCCTGGGAATTCCCAAATCCCAAATCCAGAGATCCTTGAGGGGATCCCAAACCCGTCCCGAGGGATCCCAAATCCCAACCCAGGGAATTCCCAAATCCCAAATTCCCCCTCAGGGGGGGAGTTCCCAAATTCCAAACCCCAAATGCCTGACCTTGGGGATCCCAAATCCCCAAATCCCATCCTAAGGAATTCCCAAACCCCAAACCCATCCTGAGGGGTCCCAAATCCCAGACCCAACCCAGGGAATTCCCAATCCCAAATTCCAGCCCAGGGGATCCCAAATCCCAACCCAAGGAATTCCCAAATCCCAAACCCAGAGATCCTTGAGGGAATCCTGAACCCATCCTGGGGGATCCCAAATCCCAAATCCCATCCTAAGGAATTCCCAAACCCCAAACCCATCCTGAGGGATCCCAAATCCCTTCCTGGGGGATCCCAAATCCCCAGATCCCAACCCAGGGAATTCCCAATCCCAAATTTCTCCTCAGGGGATCCCAAATCCCATCCTGAGGAATTCCCAACCCCCAAATTCCACCTTGGAGGATCCCAAATCCCGAATTCCTGCCCAGGGAATTCCCAAATCCCCAAATCCCTTCCCGGGTAATCCCAAATCCCCAATCCCAGAGATCCCTGGGAGGATCCCAAATTCCAGCCCAGGGAATTCCCAGACCCATCCTGGGGGATCCCAAATCCCAGACCCGACCCAGGGAGTTCCCAAATCCCATCCCAGGAATTCCCAAAGGGAACCCCAAATCCTGCTTGGGATTCCCAAGGGGATCCCAAAATCCATCCCAAGGAATTCCTGAGGGGATCCCAAATCCATTCCAGGATCCCCCAAATCCACCTTGGGGCATTCCCGGGATTCCCCAAATCCATCCCAAGGAATTTCCCAGGGGATCCCAAACCCATTCCAGGGGGGATCCCCAAAATCCATCCCATAGAATTCCCAAAGGGAACCCCAAATCCTGCTTGGGATTCCCAAAGGGATCCCCCAAGTTCACTTTAGGGCATTCCCAAGCGATCCCAAATCCATTCCAGGATCCCCAAATCCACCTTGGGGCGTTCCCGGGATTCCCCAAATCCATCCCAGGGAATTCCCAAAGGGCTCCCAAATCCATCCCAGGGAATTCCCAAAGGGATCCCAAATCCATCCCAGGGGGGATCCCCAAAATCCGTCCCATAGAATTCCCAAAGGAAACCCCAAATCCTCCTTGGGATTCCCAAAGGGATCCCCAAATTCATCCCAAGGAGTTCCCAAAGGGATCCCAAATCCAACTCAGGAGATTCCCAAAGCCATTCCCAAATTCACCTCAAGGAATTCCCAAAGGGATCCCGAATCCATCCCAGGGGGGATCCCCAAAATCCGTCCCATAGAATTCCCAAAGGAAACCCCAAATCCTCCTTGGGATTCCCAAAGGGATCCCCAAATTCATCCCAAGGAGTTCCCAACGGGATCCCAAATCCAACTCAGGAGATTCCCAAAGCCATTCCCAAATTCACCTCAAGGAATTCCCAAAGGGATCCCCAAATTCAGCTCAAGGGATCCCCAAATCCCGCCCCAGGGAATTCCCAAAGGGATCCCAAATCCAACTCAGGAGATTCCCAAAGCCATTCCCAAATTCACCTCAAGGAATTCCCAAAGGGATCCCCAAATTCAGCTCAAGGGATCCCCAAATCCCGCCCCAGGGAATTCCCAAAGGGATCCCAAATCCAACTCAGGAGATTCCCAAAGCCATTCCCAAATTCACCTCAAGGAATTCCCAAAGGGATCCCCAAATTCAGCTCAAGGGATCCCCAAATCCCGCCCCAGGGAATTCCCAAAGGGATCCCAAATCCAACTCAGGAGATTCCCAAAGCCATTCCCAAATCCCGCTCAGGGAAATCCCAAAGGGATCCCAAATCCATCCCAAGGAGTTCCCAAGGGGATCCCCAAATCCATCCCAGGGAATTCCCAAAGTGGATCCCAAATCCAACTCAGGAGATTCCCAAAGCCATTCCCAAATCCCGCTCAGGGAAATCCCAAAGGGATCCCAAATCCATCCCAAAGAATTCCCAAAGGGATTCCCCAAATCCACCCCAGGGAATTCCCAAAGGGATCCCAAATCCAGCTCAGGAGATTCCCAAAGCCATTCCCAAATTCACCTCAGGGAATTCCCAAAGTGTTCCCCCAAATCCATCCCAGGGAATTCCCGAGTGGACCCCCAAATCCTGCTTGGGATTCCCAAAGGGATCCCCAAATCCATCCCAGGCAATTCCCAAAGGGATCCCCAAATTTAACTCAGGAGATTCCTGAGGGAATCCCAAATCCATCCCAGGGGGATCCCAAAAATCTGTCCCACAGAATTCCCAACGGGATCCCCAAATCCACCTTGGGGCGTTCCCGGGATTCCCCAAATCCGTCCCAGGGAATTCCCGAGGGGATCCCAAACCCATCCCAGGGGGAATCCCCAATTTGGGGTCACCAAACCCCGGGGGATCCCCAAATCCATCTCGGGGCATTCCCAAGGGAATTCCCAACTCCTCACCTGTCTCACCTGTCCCTCACCTGTCTCACCTGTCTCTCACCTGTCTCTCACCTGTCTCACCTGTGCCTCACCTGTCTCTCACCTGTCCCTCACGTGTGCTCACCTGTCTCACCTGTCTCTCACCTGTCCCCATCCCCTCTTTTCCAGGTGCGGCCATGGAGGGCCACTCCCCCTTTGCCCAGGTGATCGCTCACCTGTCCGAGGAGGAGGAGCAGCCAGGTGAGGAGGAGGAAGCAGAGATACCATGCCAGGCTCAGGGAGAGCTGTTCCCAGCCCGAGGAGGAGGAGCAGCCAGGTGAGGAGGAGGAAGGGACAGGTGAGGAGGAGGAAGGGACAGGTGAGGAAGGAACAGGTGAAGAACCAGGTGAGGAGGAAGCTCCAGGTGAGGAAGACCCAGGTGATGAAGAAGATCCAGGTGAGGAAGAAGATCCAGGTGATGATGAAGAGCCAGCTGATGAAGATGCAGGTGATGAAGATCCAGGTGATGAAGATGCAGCTGAAGACCCAGGTGATGACGACGATGATGATGATGACGAAGAAGGCCCAGGTGACCAAGACCAGCACCACCAGCCAGGTGCGTCCCTCCAGGTGCGCCCCTCTCCGGGCGACCCCTCCCACCTGCGCCGGCCCCGCCTTTACCTGCGGCCACGCCCGCCCCCGGCCGAGCCCGGCCCCTCCCACCTGCAGCCGCCCTGGCCCCGCCCAGGTGCGCCGGGGCTCGCGGCCGCCTCACCTGAGCCAGGTGAGGCCACGCCGGGCTTCGTGCAGCTCATCGACGAGCGCGGCGTCTACTCCACCGCCAAGCTGGTGCTGGGCGGCCGCTCAGGTGCGCCAGGTGAGGGCGAGGAGGAGGAGCAAGCCCCGCCAGGTGATGAGGAGGATGATGAAGAAGAGCTGCCGGCTCACCTGGAGATCCGGCAGGTGATCGTGGCCGAGAAGCCCTTCCAGTGCCCCGTGTGCCACAAGGCCTTCAAGCGCACCTGGGAGCTGCTGAGCCACCAGGTGGTGCACACGGAGGCGCGGCCCTTCACCTGCCACCTGTGCCGCGCCACCTTCAAGCGCCACTCGGACTTCAAGAGCCACGCGCTGGTGCACACGGAGGAGCGGCCGCACCGCTGCGAGCTCTGCGGCAAGCGCTTCAAGCGCTCCTCCAACCTGCAGGAGCACCGCCGCATCCACAGCGGCGAGCGCCCCTTCGCCTGCCCCAGGTGCGCCAAGGGCTTCAAGACGCCCTACGAGCGCCAGCGCCACGCCCTCACCCACCTGGCGGCCGACAAGCCCTTCAGGTGCGGCGACTGCGGCAAGGATTTCCCGGCGGCCAACGCGCTGCTGCTGCACCGGCGGCACAGGTGCCAGGACAAGCCGCACACCTGCGGCGTCTGCGGCAAGCGCTTCACCTACGGCCACTCGCTGAAGGTGCACGAGCGCGTGCACACGGGCGACCGGCCCTTCAGGTGCGCGCTCTGCGGCAAGGCCTTCAAGCAGAGCAACGCGCTGGCCTCGCACGAGCGCGTGCACACGGGCGAGCGCCCCTTCGCCTGCCGCACCTGCGGCAAGGCCTTCAAGCAGTCCTCCTACCTGGCCATCCACCAGCGGGCGCACACGGGCGAGCGGCCCTACGGCTGCGAGGCGTGCGGCAAGGCCTTCGCCCGGCCCTCGCTGCTGCTGCAGCACCGGCGCGTGCACAGCCCGGCCCGGCCGCACCAGTGCAGCCACTGCCACAAGTTCTTCAAGGACCTGGCGTACCTGGCCGTGCACGAGAAGGTGCACACGGGGGAGACGCCCTACAAGTGCGGGGTGTGCGCCAAGGGCTTCGCGCACCCCTCCAACCTGCTGCAGCACCAGCGCGTGCACCGCGACACCTGAGCGCAGGTGTGGGGCCGGGGGTGCTCACCTGGACAGGTGAGCGCCCGGAAAAGGTGTGGCGGCGTCACCTGAGCCCCGTGGGTGAAGCCCCAGGTGAAAGGACTCGGTACCTGTGAGCCCGGACAGGTGTGGACCCAAAAATCTCCTGTGCACCCTGGAAAGGTGTGGCAGCAACACCTGGACTGCCACACCTGAGCCCCAGGTGAGGGCACTCCAGATCTGTGAGCCCGGCAGGTGTGGACCCCAAAATAGGGGTTTTGGACCCCAAAAACTGCAGCAGAAAGACCTGGACCGTGACACCTGAGCCCCAGGTGTGGGAACCCTGAATCTGCACCCCAGGACAGGTGTGAGCCTGGAACTGCACACCTGGACAGGTGAGCACCCGAAAAAGGTGTGGCACCTTCACCTGAGCCCCGTGGATGTAGCCCCAGGTGAAAAGACTCGGTACCTGTGAGCCCGGACAGGTGTGGACCCAAAAAAAGGATTTTGGACCCCAAAATCTGCAGCGGCAACACCTGGACTGCCACACCTGAGCCCCAGGTGAGGGGACTCGGTACCTGTGAGCCCAGCAGGTGTGGACCCCAAAAAAAGGGTTTTGGACCCCAAAAAGGTGCAGCAGCAACACCTGGACAGTGACACCTGAGCCCCAGGTGAGGGAAACCCAGAACTGCACCCCACGTCAGGTGTGGAACCCAAAAACTGCATCAGCAACACCTGGACAGCGACACCTGAGCCCCAGGTGAGGGAAACCCAGAACTGCACCCCAGGACAGGTGTGAGCCTGGAACTGCACACCTGGACAGGAGAGCACCCGAAAAAGGTGCGGCACCTTCACCTGAGCCCTGTGGATGAACAGTGACACCTGAGCCCCAGGTGAGGGACCCCTGGACAGGTGTGAACCCCGAAATCTGCAACACCTGGACAGTGAACCTGAATGACACCTGAGCCCCAGGTGAGGGGATCCTGGAACTGCACACCTGGACAGGTGTGGACCCAAAAACTGCAGCAGCAACACCTGGACAGGAACACCTGAGCTGCAGGTGAGGGGATCCCGGCCAGGTGTGAACCCTGAAATCTGCATCACCTGGACAGCATCACCTGAGCTACAGGTGAGGGACTGCTGGACAGGTGTGGACCCTGAAATCTGCATCACCTGGACTGCAATACCTGAGTGACACCTGAGCCCCAGGTGAGGGGATCCCTCACCGACAGCAGAGGAGGAACCCGAGGCACCCCCAGGGCTCACCTGCGGCCAGGTGTGAGCTCAGCACTGCGAGGCTCACCTGGGCGCTCACCTGGGCACTCACCTGAGCCCAGGGTGGCTCCTGTGGGTTTTGGGGAGCTCCAGGTGCACCTGGGACTGGGCAGGGCACACCTGGGTGGGGCAGGTAACACCTGGATGGGGCGGGGCCTTCCCAGGGCTTGGATTTTCCTTCTTGGACAATGGGAGAGGGACTCACCTGGGCACACCTGAGCTCACCTGGGCACACCTGAGCTAATCTGGGGAACACCTGGGGCACACCTGAGCTCACCTGGGCACACCTGAGAGCACCTGGGCACACCTGAGCTAATCTGGGGAACACCTGACCTCACCTGAGCTCCCCTGGGCACACCTGAGCTAATCTGGGCACACCTGAGCTCCACACCTGGGGGGTGGGAACACCTGAGATCCACACCTGGGAGGTGTTGGGGACACCTGAGATCCACACCTGACACACCTGGAGGGCTCAGAACACCCCAAAATTCACACCTGGGGGGGTGGGGACACCTGAGATCCACACCTGACACACCTGGGGGGCTCAGAACACCCCAAAATTCACACCTGGGGGGGTGGGGACCTCCCAAAACACACACCTGGCACACCTGGAGGCGGTTCGGAACACCTGAGATTCACACCTGGGGGGGTTGGGCACACCTGAGATCCACACCTGTCACACCTGGGGGGATGGGAACACCTGAGATTCACACCTGGAGGACACAGGATCCCCAGAAATTCACACCTGGGGTGTTGGGAAACACCTGAGATTCACACCTGGGGGGGTTGGGAATCCTAAAATTCACACCTGAGGGGGTGGGGAACACCTGAGAGGGCACACCTGAGCTCACCTGGGCACACCTGGGGCACACCTGAGCTCACCTGGGAAACACGTGGGGCACACACCTGGGCACACCTGGGCTCCCTTGGGCTCACCTGGCCACACCTGTCCCACCTTTCCGGGCGGCACCTGTAGCGCTGGGGGCGGGGCTCACCTGGATCGTTCATTAAAGGATCGTTAATTGATGACGTCATCGCCGGTCTCACCTGAGTCTCACCTGGAGCTTCAGGGGCGGAGTCACCGGGCAGGTGTGGGGGGGGAGCCCCAAAATTCACACCTTGGGGGGGTTGGGGACACCTGAGATTCACACCTGGAGGGCTCAGGACCCCCACATTCACACCTGTCACACCTGGGGGATGGGAACACCTGAGATCCACACCTGGGGGTTTGGGACTTCCCAAAATTCACACCTGGGGGTTTGGGACATCCTAAAACTCACACCTGTCACACCTGGGGGGTGGGAACACCTGAGATCCACACCTGGGAGGTGTTGGGGACACCTGAGATCCACACCTGACACACCTGGGGGGCTCAGAACACCCCAAAATTCACACCTGGGGGGGTGGGGACCTCCCAAAACACACACCTGGCACACCTGGAGGCGGTTCGGAACACCTGAGATTCACACCTGGGGGTTTGGGGTTCCCAAAATTCACACCTGGGGGGGTTGGGAATCCTAAAATTCACACCTGAGGGGGTGGGGAACACCTGAGATTCACACCTGGGGGCATCGGGATTCCCAAAATTCACACCTGGGGGTGTTGGGGACACCTGAGATCCTCACCTGACACACCTGGAGGGCTCAGAACACCCCAAAATTCACACCTGGGGGGTGGGAACACCTGAGATCCACACCTGTCACACCTGGCAGAACGGGGAACCCCAAACTTCACACCTGGAGGCTCCAGACGCCATTTTTAATTTATTCACCTGCCCAGGTGTGCGGGGACACCTGAGCCCCGCAGGGGCTGCCGGAGGGGGGAGGGGCCAGGTGAGAGTGGCCAGGTGAGAGCGGCCAGGTGAGAACGGCCAGGTGAGAACGGCCAGGTGAGGAGTTCAGGTGAGAATGGCCAGGTGAGAACGGCCAGGTGAGAGCGGGCAGGTGAGAACGGCCAGGTGAGAATGGCCAGGTGATGAATTCAGGTGAGAGCGGGCAGGTGAGGATGGCCAGGTGAGAACGGCCAGGTGAGAGCGGCCAGGTGAGAATGGCCAGGTGAGAATGGCCAGGTGAGAGTGGGCAGGTGAGAGCGGCCAGGTGAGAGCGGGCAGGTGAGAATGGCCAGGGGAGGATGGCCAGGGGAGAGCGGCCAGGTGAGAGCGGGCAGGTGAGAATGGCCAGGTGAGGATGGCCAGGTGAGAGCGGCCAGGTGAGAGCGGCCAGGTGAGGATGGCCAGGTGAGAGCGGCCAGGTGAGAGCGGCCAGGTGAAGTTCAGGTGAGAGGGGCCAGGTGAGAGTGACCAGGTGAGAGCGGGCAGGTGAGAGCAGCCAGGTGAGAGCGGCCAGGTGAAGTTCAGGTGAGAACGGCCAGGTAAGGAGTTCAGGTGAGGATTTCAGGTGAGAGTGGCCAGGTGATGAGGTTCAGGTGAGAGGTTCCAGGTGAGATTCCAGGTGAGAGCGGCCAGGTGAGAGCGGCCAGGTGAGGGTTTGCAGGTGACGTTCAGGTGAGGGATTCCAGGTGAGATTTGAGTGAGAGATTCCAGGTGAGAGGGGCCAGGTGAGCTTCAGGTGAGATATTCCAGGTAAGAAGTTCCAGGTGAAGATTCCAGGTGCGAGCAGCCAGGTGAGAGGTCCCAGGTGAGGATTCCAGGTGAGGTTCAGGTAAGAAGTTCCAGGTAAGGAGTTCCAGGTGAGGGATTCCAGGTGCGAGCGGCCAGGTGAGGATTCCAGGTGAGATTCGAAGATTTGAGTGAGAGAGGGGCCAGGTGAGAGGGGCCAGGTGAGGTTCAGGTGAGGTTCAGGTGAGGGATTCCAGGTGACGATTCCAGGTGAGGTTCAGGTAAGAAGTTCCAGGTGAGGATTCCAGGTGAGAGGTTCCAGGTGAGGGTTTGCAGGTGAGGTTCAGGTGAGGACTCCAGGTGAGATTCAAGGGATTCCAGGTGCGAGCGGCCAGGTGAGGATTCCAGGTGAGATTCGAGAGATTCCAGGTGAGAGGGGCCAGGTGAGGTTCAGGTGAGGTTCAGGTGAGGGATTCCAGGTGACGATTCCAGGTGAGGTTCAGGTAAGAAGTTCCAGGTGAGGATTCCAGGTGAGAGGTTCCAGGTGAGGGTTTGCAGGTGAGGTTCAGGTGAGGACTCCAGGTGAGATTCAAGAGATTCCAGGTGCGAGCGGCCAGGTGAGGATTCCAGGTGAGGATTCCAGGTGAGGGGCCTTGCAGGTGAGGCTCAGGTGAAGTTCAGGTGAGAGATTCCAGGTGAGATTGCACGTGAGAGCAGCCAGGTGAGAGGTTCCAGTCCCCAGGTGAGCCCCGCCAGGTGAGTTCCAGGTGAGTTCCAGTCGCCAGGTGAGCCCCGCCAGGTGAGTTCCAGTCCTCAGGTGAGCCCCGCCAGGTGAGTTCCAGGTGAGTTCCAGTCCCCAGGTGAGCCCCGCCAGGTGAGCCCCGCCAGGTGAGCTCAGGGGGCGTCGTCCATCAGCTGCAGCGCCTCGGCCCCGCCAGGTGAGTCCCTCCTGGGCAGGTAAATGGCGCCGGGGGCCCTCGGGGCGTCCAGGTGAGCTGGGGACACACCTGGCGTCACCTGGGCTCACCTGGGGCCGCCTGGGGGGCGGGGCGGGGGCGGGACTCACCTGGGACACACCTGGCCCGCAAGGTGAGCCAGAGCAGGGCCCCGCCCAGTGACGTCAGCAGCACCAGCAGCGCCACCAGGTACGCGCAGCTGGGGGGCGCACCTGGGGGCAGGTGAGGGGTGGGGGGGGCATCGCACCTGTCCTTACCTGTCCCTACCTGTCCTTACCTGCCACACCCTCTCACCTGTCCTTACCTGCCACAACCTCTCACCTGTCCCTACCTGTCCTTACCTGCCCCACCCTCTCACCTGTCCTTACCTGTCCCACCCCTCTCACCTGCCCCACCTTCACCTGTCCCAGCTCTTCCACACCTGTCCCACCTGTCTCACCTGTCCTGGTTTAACCTCTCACACCTGTCCCACCTTTCACACCTGTCCCACCTTTCACACCTGTCCCACCTGTCTCACCTGTCCCACCTTTCACACCTGTCCTTGCTCCTGTTTCTCACCTGTCCCACCTTTACCTGTCCCACCTTTACCTGTCTCACCTGTCCCACCTGTCTCACCTGTCCCAGCTTTACCTGTCCCACCTGTCCCACCTGTCTCACCTGTCCTGGTTTAACCTCTCACACCTGTCCCACCTTTACCTGTCCCACCTTTACCTGTCCCATCTGTCCCACCTGTCCCAGCTGTCCCAGCTGCTCTCACCTGTCCTGGTTTCTCTTCCTCACCTGTCCCGGCTCTTCCCCACACCTGTCCTCACCTGGAGCCCCTCCCCCACGCCTGGGACTCACCTGAGCCCCTCCCCCACACCTGGGGCTCACTTTTGGCTCCTCCCCCACACCTTTAGCCCCTCCCCCACACCTGAGCCCCTCCCCCACCCGGCAGCCCCCAGGTGAGGCCGCACACCTGCAGCCAGGTGCGGTTCAGCAGCACCTGCACCTGCCCCGCGCAGGGCCCGGCCCCGCCCCGCAGCCGCACCTGGGCGGGCTCCGCACCTGCGGGGGAGGGGCGGCGTCAGGCGCGGCCCGGGGCACCTGGGCAGGTGAGCACCTGAGAGCACCTGAGGGCACCTTGGGGCACCTGAGAGCACCTGGGAGCACCTGAGCACACCTGAGAGTGCCTGAGAGCACCTGAGTTACCTGGGCACACCTGAGCTGCCTTAGACTCTGGTGCTCACTTGAGCACACCTGAGCTACCTGAGCTCACCTGGGTGCACCTGGGCACACCTGAGCTATCTGAGCTCACCTGAGTTACCTGAGCACACCTGAACCCCTCCAAACCACACCTGAGCCCCTCAAGGACACACCTGTCCCAGGTGAGCTGCACACACGACCCCTCACCTGTTCAGGTGCTCACCTGCCCCCCCTCACTGTTCCCCAGGTGCTCACCTGTCCCCCCCCCCCCTCACCTGTCCCCTCACCTGCCCCCCCCGGTGCTCACCTGTCCCAGCCCTCACCTGTGCAGGTGCTCACTTGTGCCCTCACCTGTCCCAGGTGTTCACCTGTTCCCTCCCTCACCTGTCCCAGCCCTCACCTGTGCAGGTGCTCACTTGTGCCCTCACCTGTCCCAGGTGCTCACCTCTTCCGTCCCTCACCTGTGCAGGTGCTCACCTGTTCCCCTCAGGTGCTCACCTGAGCCCTCCCACCCCTCAGCTGTGCAGGTGCTCACCTGTCCCACCCCTCACCGGTCCCACCCAGGTGCTCACCTGTCCCTCAGGTGCTCACCTGTGCAGGTGCTCACCTGCCCCCTCACCTGTCCCCAGGTGCTCACCTGCAGGTGAGTCGAGACAGGTGAGACAGGTGAGGGATGGGTGAGACAGGTGAGACGGGAGGGGATGCACAGGTGAGTGAGTTACAGGTGAGTTACAGGTGAGGCAGGTGAGGGAATGGACAGGTGAGGGCGAGAGGGGCGGGGTTGTGGGAAAAGGACAGGTGAGACAGGTGAGTGAGGGGACAGGTGAGTTACAGGTGAGGGACAGGTGAGACAGGTGATGAATGGGCAGGTGAGGGCGCGGGGGGCGGGGCTGCGGGGAAACAGGTGAGACAGGGGAGGGACAGGTGATAAATGGACAGGTCATGAACGGACAGGTAAGGACAGGTGAGTTACAGGTGAGGGCGAGGGGGGCGGGGCTGCGGGAAAGGGACAGGTGAGTGAGTGAGGGGACAGGTGAGTGAGTTACAGGTGAGACAGGTGAGACAGGTGAGGGGATGGACAGGTGAGGGGATGGACAGGTGAGGGCACAGGGGAGGGGCGGCAGGGAGGACAGGTGAGACAGGTGAGGGGATGGACAGGTGAGGCACACCTGTCGGGGCTCACCTGCCCTCACCTGCGCACACCTGTCGGGGCTCACCTGCGCACTCCACCGCCGCGTCCTGGCCGTGGCCGCAGGTGTCCTGTCTCACCTGTCTCTCACCTGTCTCTCACCTGTCTCACCTGTCTCTCACCTGTCTCTCACCTGTCTCACCTGTCTCTCACCTGTCTCACCTGCCCCACCTGTCCCACCTGTCTCTCACCTGTCTCACCTGAGCTCACCTGTCCCACCTGTCTCACCTGTCCCACCCGTGCCTCACCTTCGCACGCGGCCCCGGCGTCCTCGGCGTGGTTGCAGGAGTGCTGCCCCCAGGTGTGCCCGGGGCACTCGGCCAGGTGAGCCTCGGTGCCGGCGCACCTGAGCCCGTCCAGCCAGATGGGCCCCGCCCCCTCCCCGAACTGCGCCGCCCCCGGCGCCCAGAGGGCGGGGCCGCAGCGCACCTGGCGGCAGGTGACGCGCGCGGCCGCCAGGTCCCAGGTGTCGTCGCACACCGTGCCCCACCTGCCCGCGTGGAACACCTCGACGCGCCCCGCGCACCTGTGCGGGCCCCCGGCCAGCCGCACCTGGCCCTCCCGGGGCTCACCTGGCGCAGGTGAGGGCGAGGGGGGCGGGGCTGCGGGGAACGGACAGGTGAGACAGGTGAGGGGATGCACAGGTGAGACAGGTGTGGGGATGGACAGGTGAGGGGATGGACAGGTGAGACAGGTGAGTGAGGTACAGGTGAGACAGGTGAGTTACAGGTGAGACAGGTGAGGGACAGGTGAGTCGAGACAGGTGAGACAGGTGAGGGATGGGTGAGACAGGTGAGACGGGAGGGGATGCACAGGTGAGTGAGTTACAGGTGAGTTACAGGTGAGGCAGGTGAGGGAATGGACAGGTGAGGGCGAGAGGGGCGGGGTTGTGGGAAAAGGACAGGTGAGACAGGTGAGTGAGGGGACAGGTGAGTGAGTTACAGGTGAGGGGATGGACAGGTGAGGGACAGGTGAGTGAGTTACAGGTGAGGGATACGTGGGACAGGTGAGGGTGAGGTGGGCGGGGCTGCAGGGAAACGGACAGGTGAGTGAGGGACAGGTGAGTTACAGGTGAGGGACAGGTGAGACAGGTGATGAATGGGCAGGTGAGGGCGAGGGGGGCGGGGCTGCGGGAAAGGGACAGGTGAGTGAGTGAGGGGACAGGTGAGGGACAGGTGAGGGTGAGGGGATGGACAGGTGAGGGGATGGACAGGTGAGGGGATGGACAGGTGAGGGCACAGGGGAGGGGCGGCAGGGAGGACAGGGGAGACAGGTGAACCTGCCCTCACCTGCGCGCACCTGTCGGGGCTCACCTGCCCTCACCTGCGCGCACCTGTCGGGGCTCACCTGCCCTCACCTGCGCGCACCTGTCGGGGCTCACCTGCCCTCACCTGCGCGCACCTGTCGGGGCTCACCTGCCCTCACCTGCGCGCACCTGTCGGGGCTCACCTGCCCTCACCTGCGCACACCTGTCGGGGCTCACCTGCGCACTCCACCGCCGCGTCCTGGCCGTGGCCGCAGGTGTTGCTGCCCCAGGGGGGGGCGGGGCACTGGCCCAGGTGCCGCTCGCTGCCCGCGCAGGTGAGCTCGCTCAGCCACACCTGGCCCGAGCCCCGCCCGAACCGCGCCCCGCCCGGCGCCGCCAGCGCCCGCCCGCAGCCCACCTGGCGGCACACCACCTGTGGGCAGGGAACACACCTGGGTCAGGTGAATGTGCACACCTGGGGCACAGGTGAGGGGGCAGGGACACCTGGGGCAGGTGTGGGACAGGGACACGTGAGGGGTCAGGATCACCTGGGGGCAGGTGAGGGGTCACCTGGGGGTACCTGGGCACAGGTGTGGGGTCAGGTGAGGGGGCAGAGGCACCTGGGGACACCTGGGGGTTACCTGAACACAGGTATGGGGTCAGGTAAGGGGTCATGGTCACCTGAGGTCACCTGGGCACAGGTGTGGGGCAGGTTTACCTGGGGGTTACCTGGGGGTTACCTGGGGCAGGAGTGGGGCAGGTGAGGGGTCAGGGTTACCTGGGCACAGGTGTGGGGTAGAGAGGGACAGGTGAGGTACAGGGCAGGTGTGGGACAGGTGGGCGGGGTCAGCATCACCTGGGGGTCACCTGGGACAGGTGTGGGGCCAGAATGGGACAGGGTCAGCTGTACCCAGCTGTACCCAGGTGTGCTCAGGTGTGCTCTTCCGTCCCCCCCACCCATCCCTTCCATCCCCCCATAATCCAGGTGTGCTCACCTGAGCTCACCTGTCTCTCACCTGTCCCACCCGTGCCTCACCTTCGCACGCGGCCCCGGCGTCCTCGGCGTGGTTGCAGGAGTGCTGCCCCCAGGTGTGCCCGGGGCACTCGGCCAGGTGAGCCTCGGTGCCGGCGCACCTGAGCCCGTCCAGCCAGATGGGCCCCGCCCCCTCCCCGAACTGCGCCGCCCCCGGCGCCCAGATAGGGGACAGGTGAGTGAGTTACAGGTGAGGGGATGGACAGGTGAGGGACAGGTGAGTGAGTTACAGGTGAGGGATACGTGGGACAGGTGAGGGTGAGGTGGGCGGGGCTGCAGGGAAACGGACAGGTGAGTGAACACACACCTGGCGGCACACCACCTGTGGGGAGCCAACACACCTGGGTGAGACACACACACCTGGGGCCGGTAACACACACACACCTGGGTGAGCCAGGGACACACCTGGGGCAGGTAACACACCTGGGGCAGGTAACACACCTGAGAGACCTTAAACACACCTGGGGCAGGTAACACACACCTGGGTGAGGTAAATATACACCTGGGGCAGGGAACACACCTGGGGCAGGTAACGCACCTGGGTGAGACACACACACACACCTGGGGCAGGTAACACACCTGGGACAGGTAGCACACCTGGGAGACCCCAACCCCCCCGCGGGAGCCCGGCGGCACACCTGAGCTCACCTGTCCCCCCCGTGCTCACCTGGGCGTCGCTCAGGTCCCAGCCGCGGTCGCAGACGGAGCCCCAGCGCCCCTCGTGCAGCACCTCCACCCTACCTGCGCACAGGTGCGGCCCGGCCGCCAGCCGCACCTCACCTGAGCTCCAGTTACCTGTGGGGACGGACAGGTGAGGCCCAGCGCCAGGTGAGGCTCACCTGGGCAGGTGAGACCTGCCTTATAGGAGCCCCCACCTCACCTGTGCGTGGCTCACCTGTGCACACACCTGTCCTCACCTGTGCACACCTGTCGGTGTCTCACCTGTCTGTGTCCCACTTGTCCCGCTCACCTGTCCCACCTGTCCCCTCACCTGTCCCACCTTTGTCTCACCTGCGCACACCTGTTGGTGCTCACCTGTCCAGTGTCACCTGTCCCCTCACGTGTCCCACCTATCGGTGTTTCACCGTGCACACCTGTCCTGCACACCTGTCCCCTCACCTGTCGGTGCTCACCTGCACACACCTGTCTGTGTCTCACCTGTCCCCTCACCTGTCTCACCTGTCCTGCACACCTGTTGGTGTCTCACTGTGCACACCTGTCTCACCTGTCTGGTCCCACCTGTCTCACCTGTCCGTGTCTCACCTGTCCAGTCTCACCTGTCCCCTCACCTGCATGCACCTGCCCGTGTCTCACCTGTCTGTGCTCACCTGTCCCACCTGCCCGTGCTCACCCGTCTCTGTCTCACCTGCGCACACCTGTCCAGTCTCACCTGTCCGTGCTCACCTGTGCCCCCTGTGTCTCACCTGTCCCACCTGTGTCTCACCTGTGCACACCTGTCCAGTCTCACCTGTCTGTGCTCACCTGTCCCACCTCTGTCTCACCTGTCCCGCATCCCCAGGGGTCCCCAGGTGTGCCCAGGTGCGTCATGGATATCCCCAGGTGTCCCCAGGTGTCCCCAGGTATTCTCAGGTGTGCCCAGGTGTGTGTTTGGTGTCCCCAGGTGTGCCCAGGTGTTCCAGGTGTCCCCAGGTGTGTCTGTGGATGTCTCCAGGTGCGTCCAGGTGTGTCCCCAGCTGTCCCCAGGTGAGCCCAGGTGTGCTCCCAAGTGTGTCCCCAGGTGTCCCCAGGTGTCCCCAGGTGTGTCAGGTGTCCCCAGGTGTTCCCCTCATCCCTCACCTGTCCCCTCCCCAGGTGTGTCCCCAGGTGTGTCTGTGGATATCCCCAGGTGTTTTAGATGTCTCCCCAGGTGTCCCCAGGTGTCCCCAGGTGCCCCCAGGTGCCCCCAGGTATCCCCAGGTGTCCCCAGGTGTTCCAGGTATCCCCAGGTGTCCCGAATTGTTCCAGGTGTGTCCCCAGGTATCCCCAGGTGTACCTGGGCACTCAGGGCTCACCTGGGCGTGCCAGGGCTCACCTGGGGGTGCCAGGGCTCACCTGGGGGTGTCAGGAACTCACCTGAGGGTTCCGGGGTCGCACCTGGGGGCACACCTGGAACACAGGGCAGGGACAGGTGAGCTCACCTGGGCACTCAGGGCTCACCTGGCCGTGCCAGGGGCTCACCTGGGTGTGCCAGGGCTCACCTGGGCACTCCAGGGGCTCACCTGGGCCATGGAACAGGGACAGCTGAGCTCACCTGGGCACTCAGGGCTCACCTGGGCACCCAGGGCTCACCTGGGCACCCAGGGGCTCACCTGGGCACTCCAGGAGCTCACCTGGGCACTCCAGGGCCTCACCTGGGCACTCAGGGCTCACCTGGGCACTCAGGGCTCACCTGGCTGTGCCAAGGACTCACCTGAGGGTTCCGGGGTCGCACCTGAGGGCGGCAGGGCCGCGCCTGGAACACGGAACGCGGCCAGGTGAGCTCACCTGGGCGGGGCCACGCCCACCGCAGCCAGGTGTGGGCGTGGCTCAGCAGCCCCAGCTCACCTGGGGACACCTGGGGCTCACCTGGGGGCGCCGGGGTCACACCTGGGTGAGGCAGGGACGCACCTGGACACGAAGGAAGGGCAGGTGAGCTCACCTGGGCACCCAGGGCTCACCTGGGCACTCAGGGCTCACCTGGGCACTCAGGGCTCACCTGGCGGTGTCAGGGCCTCACCTGAGGGTGCCGTGGTCACACCTGAGAGTGCCAGGGCCTCACCTGGGGGCGCTGGGGTCTCACCTGAAACACACGGGGGGAGCTGGGCAGGTGTGCTCACCTGGCCGGTGTGCCCAGGTGTGCCCAGGTGTGCTCAGGTGTGTCTGTGGATGTCCCCAGGTGTGCCCAGGTGTCCCCAGGTGTCCCCAGGTATTCCCCAGGTGTGCCCAGGTGTGTCTTTGGTGTCCCTAGGTGTGCCCAGGTGTGCCCAGGTGTGTCCCCAGGTATCCCCAGGGGTCCCCAGGTGTGCCCAGGTGCGTCATGGATATCCCCAGGTGTCCCCAGGTGTCCCCAGGTATTCTCAGGTGTGCCCAGGTGTGTCTTTGGCACCTGGGGTTAC